CCCCCCCCCCCCCCCCGATGTTTCGCGATACGTACAGCAGATAGAGAGGCAACGAAGACCACGCCGTTCCGCTTCGACACATGAGACGCAAAGACGAAGAGTTGGACGACAGCAAGCAACACCTTGCACACGTACCACACGACGAAACCGTTCTACCCTCAAAACCGTTTCGAACCATGAGACGTAACGACGCCGACGCCAGCAACAGCGACACCTGTGCAACACCTGTGCACGTACCAACGCGAAACTGTTTTGAAACCGTTTTGTTGAACGACAGGGTGCGGTGAACGAGGCCGTGCAGCAGCTGGCCTTCGCGGACTCGGTGATCATCAACAAGACGGACCTCGTGAGCGAGGAGGAGCTCAAGACGGTCAAGCAGAAGATCACCAGCGTTAACGCCTTCGCCAAGGTCGTGCAGGCGGAGAAGGTTAGTCGGAATATCTTGTTGCCTGGTGGAAACGTGTGTGTGCGTTTGAACGCATGGACGGCGCTATCCGGCTGACCAATGAACAGACGGCGGCCTCATACCGATTGAAAACAGAAAATGCCTCTGAAGGCCCATGATCTGGGGCCCTGTGACGGGGTGTCATGGGGGCGGCGGAACTACTCCCCAGATTGAAGGCAGATATTCGTGGCGTTTGTGGGCTTTAGTCTTTGAGGTCTGTTGTTGGCAGTGGCGACGACTGTTGTTTTATTGGTTTCTCCAGCGCTATTTGCTTCGCGGCTGTTCGCATTGCGTTGACTTCCTGGATATGGTACATCCGGCAAAAGGTGTGGTGATTTATTCGCTGTCCATGCCATTCGTGGTGATGGTGGTCGCTGTCGTGTCGTGTTGCCTCGTCTGTTTGCCGTTGACGGATGAGCCGAGCCTTCACAGCACCATGAACTAGCCGAAGGAGCGAAACAGCTGTGTGAGACGAAAACGAAGTTGAAATAAGGATACCACAAGTCGATGAGGGTTGGGTACCACTTGGAATACGGCATGGGGTCTTGGGGATGAGCCAGGAGTGATGAACACCGCTCCGTGTGTCTGCGCAGCCGCTGATGTTCTACTATTCCTGCCGCCAAATCACCCCCGCCCACGTAATCCCCGCCCTCCTCTTTGCGACCTCTCTGTTTCTCTCTGTCTCTCCTCCCCTTCACCCTTCGTCCGGGTGCGTTTCTTCATCAGTCCCGCGTTCCTCTCAAGTCAGTCCTGAACCTCCGCAGCTACAACCTTGAGCGAACGCTGGAGCTCCTTGAACAGGTGGGCAGAAGCAAAGAAACCAAGACGTTGCAATACAAGAGACAACAAGCACGTTTCTTGTGCGTCTCCAGGGACAGAACATACAGGATTTTCAGCTCAAGAGGGTGTGTGTGCAGATTTTCTACAAGCCTCCTCGTTCCACGCGCGGCGAGGAGACCTTTGTACCCGTGGTCACAGGGCGGTATTGAGTGTTGTGTGCCGAGCGACCAAGCTTTTTTGAAGGTCGCGAATCCGACGGTCGTGGGGGTTTGTTTCCCCGGGAGAGAAAACACGAGTTAAAAGTAGAGCAGGGGGGTTTGTTGCACAGACGCAGGCAAGAGACTCCATTTCGTAAATGGCATTTCTTCTTCCTTTGGGCTGTCGCATCCTCCCGATTCTCGTATTCCTTAGACTACAGCAAGGACTTCGTATTTTCTTTTTAGTGTCTTTTGATCTCTGACGACCATCCACATCAAGCCCTCAAGAGAGGTGGTGGAGAGTTCAGCACTCACTGTGAACTGCAGGGGCGCGGGGGCGCATGGGGGGGGGTGCTCTGCCCCCTACAAAAAAAAATGCACTTCTGTTCAGCTTGTGAGGGGGTTGGGAGCACCGCAGATTTCTGATGTCATGGGGGAATCGCACCATCACGTTTCTTATCGGGGCGTTTCTGACGTTGTGGCCGAGATTGAGCTATGTTTCTTGGCCCTTTTTTCTTATTATTTGTTCAAAGTTGAGCGCTTTTTCTGAACAGAATATTTCTTTGACCGCGGGCGGTATCTGTATTTGTACGCGAAGGGAAGGGGTGGCGAGTACCGTGAGACGCAGTACCTTCCTTCGAAGACCGCTCATTCGTTTACTCATGAAACTCAACAGAGCCGTAGAGCCAAGCCGCGGGGGGAGGTTCAGGGAACTCTTAGCGATATGTGGAAGGAAAAGCCATCAGGGTAGCTTTTGGTCTCCGCCGGGACAGTGATATGTGCTGGTGTTCCTCGGTGCGACGCTGAAATACGCTCGTTTTTCTCTTGTTTCACAAGAATGAGATATGTATATGTCTACTTGGACTTTTTTCCTTGTCCCGCTGCCGGCTATGCAGTACATGACTTGGCCAAGTACAAACTCGTGTACTGTAGTTGTTTTCAACACGACCCCGACTGCTGTACATCTCATTTCAAGAATTGTAAATATGTTCGACGTCAACAAACGGTTGCCAGTCGTCTCAGCGATGCTGACTTTTCGCACCACCCCTTTCCTGAGCAAAAGACGCGTAGTTTGAGGTAAAGCATGCCGCCATTGGCCCCGGGGATGGTGAGCTATCGTCCCCTGAATTCTAAGGACACAAGCCCGCTTTAAGGACGCTTCTTTCAGGAAAAGCGATGTGCGTCGTCAAAGCGGGGTCGACGGTAATAAGGTTAGCATCTTGTGTGCGTCTGCGAAACAAGATGAGTACGACGTGGAGTTGTGTATTCCAAGTGGCACCCCGTACAAGATGCTGCTGGGAACGACCGCATGAAAGACACCATGTGATTGGCCGACGCCCGCCCCTACCCGACTTAGGAGGCGAAAGAGGAAGAGGCTCGGAAGAAGGCGGCCGAGGAGAAGGATACGAAGGAGGCGAAGCAGAACGCCGACAAGGTCAAAGGGGGCCACGCGCATGGGTGCAAGGACGGGTCCTGTGGCCACGATCACTCCCACGGCCACCACGACCACAAGCACGAAGACACCTCCGACGGCCACGCCCACTCCCACTCCCACGACTATGGCAAGGAGGTGAGGCCCGGGCCGGGGGCGGGCGACGGGGTGGAATGATATGTTGTTGCGTTTTTGCTCTCTATCTCTCTGTCGCCTCGATTATTCACTCACGCAGCGTGATGCTGGCTGCGATACACAGGTAATTCACTCACGCAACTGTGTTCACGTCGGCTACGCGAGAAAACGATCTCTCACTCACGCATCGTTGGCGGTTGTTTCGATACACGTGAAAGTGATGATGCATCACACAGCGGTGGAGCCGTTTCAGTATACGAGAAATCGATCGCTCACTCATGCAGTGTTGGTGCCCACATCAGTATGCGAAGGGACGACCATTAAACGTTAGCTTTTGGGTCGGCCTACAATTGCGTGCGCAGAAGCGCTTGCGTCCACGAAGTGATGCCCGGCATGTGGCGCTTGCTTCCTCGAAGGACGAAGGTACCATGTTGCTTCCGTGTCGTAGTAGGAACGATGGGGGTGCTATTACTCTTTCGGTCGGCTGCTACTTCCATACACCCTGAGCGGCGGCGACGGCGGCAGCCGCAGCAGCATCAGCTGTAGGTGCAACGAACGCGAGCGTTGCTTCTTCTTAGTGGTGCCGTAAGGTGCTGTGGGACACGTCTGTACCATGGGATGTTCATTGTTGTCGTGCCGTACGTGATAACCAGAGACGAGACCATCGCCCAAAACCCGCGTTTACGGCGACGAAGTCTTGTTCTCGCGATCAGGTATGCATACACGTGCAAGCCTTCCGTGTATTTTTGGTAGCTTGGTGTGTTTTTGTTTCAGGATGATGCCGGAAGGAGAATCGAGAACCCCTGAGTCCGCCCCAGGGAGTGAATCATCGTTCTACACTTGTGAAAGGTTTCCGTCGCAGCGTTTTTTACACTCGGTTCTAGTCAGGCGCGCCGCCTCTTCGAAAAAGAGAGTAAAAATAACAAATGAGAAAGCGAACGATCATTGACGACAACCACGACCACACAAAAACGATAAGCAGAATGGCGAGAAGCGCAAGCGTGACGACGAGGGAGGGGAGAACGGGGTCGCAAACGGCGCGGATGGATCGAAGAACGCCAAGAAGGCGAGGAAGAAGGAGCTCGTAACGGTATCGTCCACACGGCACGACTCAAAGGTGAAAGACATGTTAGTGGGTGTGTGTGTGGCAGCAGGTTAAAGCGAGATTGACAAGGTGCGTGCATGAAAGTGAGCAAGTAAAAGGTAGATTGTCGTGGGGAGGGGGGGTGTACTCATGGTCGTGCATGCCGTAGTCCTTGGACAATTGACCTCGCATCCCTACAAAGCTGGGACGGAGCACGCCGGGTTCTCGCCGGACCAGGCTCGCGCATGACCAAGCGCGAAGCGCCGTGAGATATTCGGCGAGTCGCATGAAGGGTGCGCTGCATCCTGCTAAGGGTNGGTCATGCAGATTTGTTCCGCGGCCGGCTGTGATGTGACAGGACTTCAGGAGACCCGACGAGAAGGGCAAGGTTCAATTGCACATGACGGGTACGTGATCATCTGGAGTGGCGCCCGTGCTGGCACNGCGCATGACCAAGCGCGAAGCGCCGTGAGATATTCCGCGAGTCGCATGAAGGGTGCGCTGCATCCTGCTAAGGGTGTTCGGCATCTTGTGCTTACTTCCTTGCGTACGGATGACAGCTGCGTATGACTTCATTTATTTTCTGGTGCTTTACTTCCAGAGACAGTTGTAAGCACTGAAGAAAGCACACCCGCAACGCGAGGTGGACCGAGAGAAACACGAGACCGCAGCGGCCGTCAAAGCGGCTACGAAGAAGGCACGAGAAGGGCGACCTATCGTTCGGCACGTTCAACGTACGCACGCTAGCCTACAGCGGTATGAACCCCATCGGGCACAACGTGATGACGGTCATGCAGATTTGTTCCGCGGCCGGCTGTGATGTGACAGGACTTCAGGAGACCCGACGAGAAGGGCAAGGTTCAATTGCACATGACGGGTACGTGATCATCTGGAGTGGCGCCCGTGCTGGCACCAAGGACAAGAGGGGCATACACGGTGTGGGCATAGCGATCAAGG